CTTCCTTTGACCTTCCCTCCAAAAAACATCCCAACATAAATCGATGCAAGGTCTCAGAAACATTTTCATCAAGTAGAGTTATACAGTCATACAGCACAGAACCAGACTCTTCAGCCCAACTCATCCATGCTGACCAGGTTTCCTAAAATGAATAAGTCTCGTTTGCCTGCATATAGCCCATTTCCCTCTAAACCTTTCCTGTCCACATGCTTGTCCATATGCCTTTTAAATGTATAATTGTACTTGCCTCCACCACTACCTCTGGCAGCTCGTTCCATATATACACCACCCTCTGGGTGAAAATGTTGCCCCTTTGGCCCTTTTAAATCTTTTCCACCTCACCTTAAACCTATGCCCTCTAGTTTTGCACTTCCCCTACCCTGAGGAAAAGACCTTGGCTATTCACCTTACTTATGCCCCTCACGATTTTATAAACCTCTATAAAGGTCACCCCTCAGCCTCCTACTACTCCAGGGTAAAAAGTCCCAGCCTCTCCTTATAACTCAAACCCTCCAGTCACAGTAACATCCCTGTAAATCTTTTGTGTACTGTTTCCAGCTTAATGATATCCTTCTTACAGCAGGGAGACCAGAATTGTATGCAGTACTCTAAATGTGGTCTTACCAATGTACACATGACCGTAACATGACGTCCCAACTCCTGTACTCAATGCTCTGACCAATGTAGGTAAGCATACCAAATGCCTTTTTCACCAGCCTATGATGCCTCTTTCAAGGAATCATGTAGCTGCACTCCTAGGTCTCTCCCTGTTAGGCAACACTCCCCAGGGCTCTACCATTAACAATGTAAAGCCTGCACTGGTTTGTCTTACCAAAACATATTTATCTAAATTAAACTCCATCTGCCATTCCTTTGGCCACTAGTCCAATTGATCAAGATCCCATTGTAATCTTAGATGAATTTCTTGACTGTCCACTTTACGACAAATTTTGGTGTCATCCACATACTTATTAACATGCCTCCTATATTCTCATCCAAATAGTTTGTCATTTACTTAAACAACGGTGGACTGATCCTCGCGGCACAGGCCTCCAGTCCGAAAAGCAACCATTTGTCTCCTACCGTCAAGCAAATTTTGTAACCAATTGGCTAGCTTTTCCTGGATCCCAGGTGATCTAACCAGTCTACCATGCAGCAACTTGTCGAACACCTTGCTGAATTCTACAAAAATTTTGTCTACTGCTCTGCCATCATCTATCATCTTGATCACCTTTTCAAAAAATCCAAGTTTGTGAGGCATGATTTCCCACGCACAAAGCCATGCTGAGTATCCATAATCTGGCCTTGCTTTTCCAAATGTATATAGATCCTGTTTCTCAGAATTCCCTCCAACAACTTATCTACCATTGATGTCAAGCTCACCAGTTTATAGTTTCCTGGCTTTTCCTTGCAGCCTTTCTTAAATAATGACACCATTAGCCACCCTCCAGTCTTCTGGCATGTCACTGTGGCTATCAATGATAGAAGTATCGCTGCTAGGGATAGCCTCCCACGATGTCCTGGAATGCACTTGTTCTGATCCCAGAGGTTTATTTGCCTTTATGCACTTTAAAACCTCCAGCACCTCCTCTTCTGTAGTGTGGATTCTTTTCAAGACATCACTATTTATTTCCCTGAGTTCCCTAGCTTCCATGTCTTTCTCCGCATTAAATACTGACATGAAATATTCATCTAGTGTTATGGACCAGACCAAATCCTTGAAAACATGACAGGAGGTAGCCTAGGCCCTAACTTTTTCTAATTTTAAAAGCAAGTACCAGGCATTGTGTTCCAGATAGAATTTGATTAGTCAAATTTCCAGGCTTGAAGCAAAACACACTTTATTCACACACTGTTAGGCAAATGCAGACAAAATAAAATAATTGGCTTAAGTGTAACTATGAAATGCTTAACAAAATAATAAACTACTCATTAACTGTTCCAATATAATACCATCCCATAAACACACCCTTGACAAAGGCAAATTCAGTAAAATAGATTGTCTCACATGCGATTCTAGCATCAGGAAGAGAACTCCAGCTTTTAGCTGTAACAGAGGAAGGAAAAAGAGCTTCCACACCCAGCAACAGTTGAAAACTAAACTAAAAATCCTGATTCTGTGCTTGACCCTACCCATTCAGGCTGTTTTCATTGTTTCAACTTTTAAAAAAACCCCAAGGCTTCACAAGTTGTTTACTTTGTTGGCTTGAAGCAGACCGTTTGTTACCTCTGTCTTGACCTCTCTTCATAAAAAAAGACAAAATATACAAAGCCATAGTATCACCACACCTCCCCCTTTAAAAAAGTAAACCGTCAATATACACAGATGGCTTCATTTTTAAAATCCTTTAGTCTTATGCTATTAATGTATTACAATACATATACATTAACTCTAAGCATGCAAACATTCACTGCTACAGCCCATTTCAGTTTGTTTTTATTCCCACCACCAAATGCGGTCTTCCTTCAAAGTCACGACAGTGCATCAGCAATTACGTTCTCTTGTCCTGCCACATGTATAATTTTAAATTTGAATGGCTGCATTAATAAGCTCTATCTAAATAATCTGAAATTTTCATGCTTAAATTTTTCCAAAAACTTTTGGGGGTTATGATCAGTATATACAACTGTCTCAGACACATTACTAGCAATATAAATGTTGAAATACTGCATTGCCAATGCCTAGGTCAAGACCTCCTTCTCAATTGTGGAATATTTCTGTTGATGATTATTCAATTTTCCTGGAAAAATACCCAATAGGTCTTTCTATCTTCTCCTCGTCTTCTTGCAAGTGTACATCACCGACACCCACGTCACTCACATCTATAACCGCCTTGAATGGCTTTGCGTAATTAGGTGTGGCTAACACTGGGGCAGGGGTTGACACAGCTTTCAGGCTGTCAAATGCCTTCTGACATTCTTCTATCCACTGAAATTTTCTGCACCTCTTCAATAAGTCAGTCAGTGGAGCAACCACACTGCTAATTTGGTACAAATTTCTGATAAAAACCACTCAATACCAGGAATCGCAGTACTGCCCTCTTCGTCAACAGTATGGGAAACTCCGCAATAACCTTTATTTCTCAGGATATGAAAACAATTTGTCCATGTCCATTAACATGGCCCAGGAACGTGACTTACGCTTTTGCAAACTTCACCAGGTTTATCACAAGCCCGTCTCCCAAAGTCAATCAAACAATTCCAAAAGATGCTCCAAACATTCTTTTCACCTCTGACTAAAAGTCACCAGATAGTTGATGTACACCACACAATTGAGTAATCCCAAAATGATTTTATTGGTTAGTCTTCGAAATATGGCTGGTGCACCTTTCTTATCAAATGAGATGACTTTAAACTGGTTTAGTCCATTTAGGGTCACGAAAACTGAAATTTCCTTTGCTCTTTCGGATACCTGCTAGTATCCTCTGAGTAAGTCCAACTTTTAAATACAAGTTGCTTGTCCAACCTTCTCAATACAGTCTTCCAAACGTGGAATAGGATACGAATCAGATTTTGTAACTGCATTGACTTTGCAATAGTCCACACATAATTGTTGGTTACCATCTGGTTTTGGCACCATTACTATGAGTGAGCTCCATTCGCTGCAACTCACTTTGATTATATTGTCTTTGAGCATGTAATCAATCTCTTTTTGAACCCGTGCCAACTTTCAAGGGTTAAGTCCATAAGGATGTTGTTTACAGCATTTCCTATATCTATATTATGCCTAGTCAGATTAGTATTCCACAACATATTCCCACATATCACCCTACATAATTGTAATAACTCTTTCAGGTCATTTCAATCTTCCCCTGAAATGTAACTCACCAATTTATCCCAAGTTGAGAACTTCCTCATTCCTCAACTTAAGTTGGACAATGTCCAGTTCAGAATCATCTGAACTTGGTTCTTCACTCTGTGTTATACCCAGTAACACATTTTCCTTTGCTTTCCTTACCTATCAAAAAACCTCTTGAATATATTCACATTGCAGATTCAGATTTCTTTCTATCCGGTGTTCTTATCAAATATTTCACCTCATTCAATTTCCTTTCTATTTGATAAGATCCACTACACCTTGCCTTTAAAGGTTCACCTACCACTTGTGTAATACTAACATTATCTCCTCTGTCAAAACTACGTGCTTCCTGCTCCATCCCATGCTATGCTACTTTTAAATGCTGTCAAGCCAATTCACCCACTCTATTTTATCTTCCCCTAACATTTGACACGGAGTGCAAAAATGTGGTCTCCGAACTCTGACTCACCAATTTCTCAATTTCAGTGGTCCTCTCACCTCATGCCCAAAAACTAATTCAAATGGACAGAATTTAGTTGACTCATTTGCTGTATCCCTAATTGCAAAAAGTACTACTGAAATTCCTTTATTCCAATCCTCTAGTCTTAGCTATAAGCCCTCCGTCTTTAAAGTTTGATACCACCTTTCTAACTCTCCCTAGAATTCTGGATGGTACGCAGTCGATTTAAATTGTTTTATTCCTAAGCTATCCAGAACTTCCTTGGATAACTGATGTATATTTGACCCTTGATCTGATTGTATCTCTGTGGGTAGTCCGTACCCAATAAAGAAACTTGAATAATTCTTCTACAATCTTTTTAGTCGCAATACTGTACAATGGATTCGCCTTTGGAAATCTAGTAGACACATCCATTGTAGGCAACAAATACTGATTCCAACATTTGTGGGAGGTAAGGATCCTACGCAATAAGATTCTTGTAAAAAATTCCTCGAATGCAGGAATGGGTATTGAGGGAGATAGTAGGAACTGCAGATGCTGGAGAATCTGAGATACCAAGGTGTAGAGCTGGATGAACACAGCAGGCCAAGCAGCATCAGAGGAGCAGGAAGGCTGACGTTTCGGGCCTAGACCCTTCTTCAGAAATGGGGGAGGGGAAGGGGGTTCTGAAATAAATAGGGAGAGAGGGGGAGGCGGATAGAAGATGGATAGATGAGAAGATAGGTGGAGAGAGGGCCAAAGTCAGACATATGGTGTTAGGCCACAGATCATGGCTGATCAGCAAATGGTGGAACAGACTTGAGGAATGAATAGCCTACTCCTGTTCCTATAAATAAGGCATCACTTTTCATATTAGAGCCCCCTACCCATATTCTCCCACCATAATATAAAAATGCTTTTCATCTTTAACACGTTATCTCAGT